CGGATGCTTAAGTTCCTCCAGTGAGCGCTCTTCGCCCAGGCCGTTTCCTTGGGCCATTTCCTTGGCGAGACCAGAACGCCTGCCGCCACCCGCCGCCCGGCACAGCGGAGGGTGAGAGCTGGTGACGCCGCTGACGAGCCGTGGGCGCCCGCTCTGTGGGAGAAGGCAGGGGGAGCCCGCGCCCCTGGTCTCCCCGACGGCAGCACCCGCGTCCCCGCCCGCGTCCCCTCCGAGGGCGCTGCTGACTCCTGACGGAGAGAGTCTCGTAAGAGAGAAGCTCTTGGGTCTGGGAACTGCCTGGCGTTGGGACGTGGCCTCGCTGATGGGCATCACGCAGCCCGGCCCCTCGCAGGCAGCCGGGTGCCGATCCTGCCCGGGTGGGGGCAGCCGGGGCAGCCGGGGCAGTGGGGGCAGCGGGGGCAGTGGGGGCCGCAGAGGGAGCAGCAGGGGCCACAGTGCCGGCAGCATCAGCAGGTCAGTCCGCTCAGCGCCACGGCCAGCACCCGGGTCTCTCCGGGCCATGGCCCCCTCCTCACCAAAACGGGTGGGGGCGGGGGAACCTGAACTACCCACTTGCTGCTTAAGCCTCGACCCTCATCTCCAGAGGGGCAGTCTTCTCCCGAGCCCGGAGGGGTGACGGAGCGGTGTGCTCACGGGCAGGGAGCCTCCGGCCCGCGTGCCCCCTGCTGGCCTGGTGGACGAGGCCGCCAGCCCTCTGCACCGTCCCCCCCACCCCGGCCCTGAGGCTGGCCTCACAGCCGCAGCTCTGCCAGCCTGGGCCTGAGAGAGAGGGGGGCCTTTCCCCCGCACCCCACCCCCGCCCCGTCTCCGTCCATCAGACCACACGCACCAACACATGGGTGCCCAGCGGCCACTGCCCACCACCACACACACCCACAAGTGTTTGGAAGAGGCTGGCCCGGCGGAGCGGCTGGCTCTGGGCCTCCTCGCCCAGCTGCTCCCCGGCAGGAGGAAGCCCAGCCTGGCGAGGGAGAGGGGGAGGATGGTGGCCCAGAGCCAGGGCTGGCTCCCGAGGCGGGGTTCCAGGCCTGTGGGTGCCAGGGATTGGGCAGGAAGGGAGGGGTCCTGTGCTCACTCTGCAAAGGCCTAAGGAGATGATGGGGGAGGCCGGGGCGGGGACCCTCGGGGACGTGTCTGCGCCTGGGGGCTCCTGGGCGGACCGCGGGCGGGGAAAGACTGTGGAGGGCTCTGAACGGGGCAGCCAGGAAGTCCACCGGCCTAACACTCCTCGCTGAGTCCGTCCTCGCCTCCTTTCTGTCTTCCAGAGCGACGCGCCGAACCTATCGCAAAACCACCGCACCGCCCGCCCCACCCCCGGGGGACGGGGTCCGTGTGGAGGGGGTCAGGCGGGGTTCGAGGCTGCCGCCAGCTTCCGCCGGCCCTGGACGGGCTCCACTGCCGCCCGCACCGCCCACGATGACCCAGTCCCAGGCCAGCTCCACGCTGGGCGCGGAGGGCACCCGGGCTGCTGCCCCGAGAGGACAGGGGGACGGGGAATTCTGGGAAGACTCAGGTTCCAAGAGATGCTTCTGAGTTTCCGCTCTGCCCACATCAGACACGGGTCCCTCCCTTCGGTCTCCACGTGACCTGGGCCTCCACCCCCTCGGGGGCCGTCCCCCCAGAACTGCGAGGCCCCGACCCCGGGAGACGGAGCGCAGGTCCTCCTGGGAGCTGGGGTGTCCTCAACCAAAGGTGGTCTGGGGAGCTCTGCTCGGTCACTCAGGAGGCCCGTCACCCCAAGACCTCGGGCTCCCCCGTGGCAACTGGGGGAGTGGAGAATAGAGGACCATGGACTCCGACCTTCCTCTCTCTCTCTCAAAAAAAAAAAAAAAAAAAATCAATAAAAAAAGTAAAAATATATATCGGCGGAAGCAAGGATTGTCCCAAAGAATGAATGAGCTCATTGATGCAACCAGCCGTGTCTGAGTGCTAGGCCCCGCGGGAGGAGTCTGAGGGTCAAGGTCGGGCAGACAGCGTCCCCAGCGAGAGAAAACGGGGTCAGGCCGCTCCCACCGGCGCCCGGGGCCGCGGAGAGGGGGTTGCGGGGTGGGCAGTGAGACAGCGCCTCCATGCTCCTTTTCCTCTTAAATACGCTTTATTTCTGTGCTGTTTCCAAGCTGGTACCCCTGGGCACCGGAGCCAGGGAGTGGGGGAGGAGAACGGGGGAGCGGAGATCGGAGCCCTCAGTCCAGGCTCCCCCAGGGCTCCATGCACTGGCGCCGGCAGTTGTAGAAGCAGCACTTCTTGGCCCGCCGGCAGCCGCGGTCGCGCCGGCACGTGGGCAGCATGGTGAACGGGCAGTCCAGCCAGAACTCGGGGCAGTAGCCGGGCTTGTCCGCCGCCCGCGTGGGGCCGGGCTGAGCCCCGCGGGGGCCAAGGAGGAGGAGGAGGAGGAGGAGGAGGGCCCCGGTGAGCACGCACAGGCTGCCCGGCTTCATGCCGCCGAAGTGGGTCCCTGCCGGGTCTGTGGGAGGAGAGAGGGCCGTGGGGTGTGTCTGCGAGACCCGGGCTCCCGGGCAGGAACGGGCCGCGCTCTCCGGCTATAGCGTGTGTGGCCGCGCCCGCCGCCGCCCCACGTGGCGCAGAGGGGGCCCGTGTTCCAGGGAGAAGCGCCCGGTGAGGACATACGTCTTGCCAGGGACACAGCCAGTGTCCTCTGACACGCGCGCAGCTCCATACCCACTCCGGACAAGAAGGAACACTGGGGGCAGGGGGCAGGTGTTCCTCCTCTTCCTCCCCCTCCTCCTCCTCCTCCTCCCCCTCCTCCTCCTCCTCCTCCTCCTCCTCGTCCATGTCTCTCTCCCAGGTGCCCCGCCCTCCACGCCGCATGCCGTAGGCCTTTCCAAATCTGCATGACCTCCCCTCCCCCGGGGGCATGTCGCTGACGTTGCTTCTAATCCTCCCACCCACGGAGCTGAGTTACAAACCCCCAGAGCCGGTGGCGACGGCAAGCCCTTCACGCTGCTGGGTGGGTGGGCTCCCAGCTACAGGAGGCGCTAAACGGGGCTCATGTACACAGCAGGTGCTAAACGGAGCTCATGCACACAGCTGGTGCTAAACGGGGCTCGTGTACACAGGAGGCAGTGGACGGAGCTCAGCGAAGCCAGCCGCCATGTCACAGCACACCCACTCTGGGTGGCAGAGCGTGAGCAGAGCCTGGGCTCCTACCCGTCCTCCCCTGTCCTCCTCGATGGTGCCAGTCTGTCCTGTCGCCCCTGAGCAGAAGCTGCCACCTCCCGCCGCCCCGACTCCTGTCTGGCCACCATGAGCTCCGTGAGGGCCTGGCGCAGGGCCCAGAGCGGCTCCCCGAGGGCCTGCCCCGCCTGCTTCGCTGGATGCCACGGCCGGGGCTGGGGACCCGGTGGCCCTGGGCTCCAGCACCCCCACCCCAGAGCCGCCTCCGCTTGGAGCAGGGGCTTGGCCACGGGAGCAGCCTCAGACCCCCCCGCTGCCCTGTCCCTACCTGCAGGAGATGCTCGCCCACCGCTCACTGCTTCCCGGGACCTGGTGGCCCGTCTCCTCCGTGGAGACGGCTGCCACTCCAGGCTCAGCAGCCACTAACTGCCCGCGGGCCAGCGCTCCTGACCTCTGATTGGGCCCCGGCCCTGCCAATCCCCCGCATATGGAAGTTCTGCTCCTCACCGAGTCGCTGGCCGGCCAGGCCTTCCCCGGCAGCCAGTTTCATTCATTCAGCGGGGCCTCTGGTCTCATCGCAGGACAGAGCCCCGCTCCGGCCGGCACTGCACAAGGTCTCCCGAGTCCCCCCAAAAAAGCCTCGCTCCCCCCGGCCCAGGGCCCCCTCACAGCGGGAGCGCTGCAAGAACAAAGAGTGAGTGTTGCTGCTTTGGTTCTACGCCCCCACGGCGTGGGACGGGCCACGGAGGGACAAGGATGTCCAGGCGTTATCACTTCGTCCCCGGACCCTCCCCCAGGTCCTTTCCGGGAACCCCCCCCCCCCAAACGGATGACCTCACCCCCCTCCTCCACAGGCGCACGTCTCAGGTTCAGGGGCATGGGACGTAGCACGTTGTAGGATGTCACTGACGCTAAGTCTGGCTCCAGGGCCGGCGCATGCCCTAGGAGAGAGGAGCTGGCCATGGGGGACCCCTGGGGGGCTCCAGCGAATACCCCTCTCACACAACAGAGGCTCCGACAGGCAGACCCATGAGGAGAGTCTAGGCGCTGGGATGGGCGTGAGGGGCGGGCATGGCCCCTGGGCTGCTGAACTTGGGGCCTAGGGAGATCCCGAAAGACAGCATCCGTGGGCAAAGCGGAGATCAAAGCGCCCAGCACAGTCACGGGGGCGGCCCGCAGGGCCTGGCTCAGGCTTGGGGACTGGCCCGGCAGGAGGAACCAGTGGCCACAAGAGGCAGAGGCGGGATCTGCCAAAGCAGCGCGCGGCAAACTCACCGGTCCACAGAGCCAAACATCAACAGCACAACAATTGACATTTCTTTGGAGAGCCACATTTTTTAAAACTTAACCTCTTCTAACGCCACGTCTTCAACATAGACGCGCCCAGGCCGTGGTGTTCTGTGGAAGAGCCACACTCCAGGGGCCAGAGAGCCACCTGTGGCTCATGAGCGGCAGTTTGCCGACCACGGTGCCCAAGGACCTTGCAGGGCTGTGGGCGGCCGCACGCATCTTATCAAACACACGTGACGGTACACAGCGAGGCAGCATCCTGGGCTGATAGGAACCCCTCCTGTCGGCCGGACCCAGGCCCGGGGGAGGACGGATCGCAGGGAGAGAGAGAACAGAAAAGGACCGAGATGTCCTTGGCTCCGTCCGCGGCTGCCCACCCGCTGAGAACAGCGCTGCAGACCGGCTCGGCGCCAGAGCTGCGTGGCCTGCATCTGCCCTAGCCATGCCCACGGCGTGTACGTGGCCGTGCCCACGGCGTGTACATGTCTAAGAGTTTTGTCTCTCCTCATGAAATGCCATGAGATCGTTAGGACGTTCGCAGCAGCGTCACTTACGTTAATGTTTGAGGACCACACACTCCGGATCCATCCGGGGTCTCTCATCATGGGAATCTGAAACACACAAACACAAGCGATGAGTGCGTGAGGACTTCCTGGAATTCCATGGGGGGAAGGGTCTCGCACAGCCTGTGAATACTCTAAACGCCATGTGTGTGCGAGCGTGTGTGTGCATGTGCGTGTGTGTGTGTGTGTGTATTTTTTAAAACACGTGGAACACGGACAAATTGTTCAAAAGGAGGACGGTCCCGCCAAAAGCAGGATGCCTGGTCACCTTAATATATATCTTTTTATTGAACTTAGAGAGGGAGGGAGGGAGAGGGATAGAGAGCAAGAAACACGGACGAGAGAGAGAGAGAGAGAGAATCATTGATTGGCCACTTCCACGGAATCCATGGCTGTGGACGTGGCCACGTTGAACCTGACTGGGTCTATCCAACCCCAAGGCCTTGGCCCTCCTCCGTCCGAGCTGCCTGCAGAGGGGCGGGGAGGAGGTACGGAGGTTCCTGCCCCAGCCCAGGAGGAGGGCCTGAGGGGTGGCCGTGGGCCAGGGCAGGGAGAGCGCGCAATGGGACAGAGGGCAGGACGGCAGAGGCCGGAGGGCCACACACGCCAGGGTTCCGGGCAGCCCTGAGACTCAGCCACATTACCCACCATGCCCCGGGCATCATCGTCCGGCTCTGGCGGCGGGGCCGTGCGCCTGCACTTGGGCAGACTCCCGGGGACCCCGGGCCCTTGGCTGCAGGTGGCGATGAGCCCTGGACGCCACGCGCCCAGCCCCCGGTCTCCCTGACGCGCGGTGGCAGTGAGAAGCAGTACGGGGAGGGCTCTCGCCCTGCGCCTCTTCCTCAGTGCGGAGTAATGACGCAGACCTACTGTGTGCCAGATACACAGCCAGCGCCTGTCCTCCTCCTCTAAGCCGTGTGGGCATTGCCATCTGCTTTTACTGGAGAAGCTGGGTTTCAGAAAGCCTCGGTGATGTCCCAAGGCCGTCCCGCGGGCAGGAAGGCGCCTTCCCCTCGGGATGGCATGGCCCCCCCGGCCAGCTGGCCAGCCCCGGCCCAGCCTGCCCCGCGGCTCCCAAGACGGCAAGCCCAGCGTTGGGCAAAGCAAAAGCCAGGCCCTGACCCTGAACCCACAAGGCGGCAGGTTCCACGCCCAGACACGGAGGACTGGCCGCCTCTGCCTGCAGCCGGAGCGCCACGTGCCTGCTCCAGCGATTCTCGGAAGAGGCGGTGGCCCGGCAGCCAGTCCCGGCGGCCCTGGCTCCGGGGAGGGCTTTTACGTAAAGAGCCCAGCGGAGCCCTTTGGCCCCGGGACGTCCAGTTCCTCCCGCGGACGCCGGTCTCTTGAGGCGGCCGGGGAGGCTGGGCCCGGGCCAGGGGCAGAGCCGGGCAGGCGGGAGGGGCGGTGGCCCAGGAGCCCGGACTCTGCAGGACACAGTGTGCCCGTCCTCCAGGCTCAACACCCCACCCCCCCGCGCGCGCCCACCGGCCGTGCCAGCGGAGACAGCAGACACCCCGCAGGGGAGCCGGCACCTGACTGGGGGGGGCGGGGGGGAGCGGGGGGTGCTGGAGGGAAAGGCTGTCCCTTGCTTGAGAGCAAAGGACAACACAGTCGGCCCTGAGCCGGGGACACTGTCTGGCCAGCACTGGCCGCTCACAGCCCAGGCAGGGCCGCCAACAGCACTGGGACCCGCTGAGAAACCGCCCAACAGCCGCGCTGAGGAAGGCGTGAGGGGTTGGGCCTGTCCTCTCTCCCCCCCACCCCCACGTTCCCCCCACATTACTGCAGGGACCTGGGAGTGGGGCTTGCTTCCGGCCTGCTGGGAGAGGGAGGGGTGAGAGGGGAGGTGGGGAGGGACATGGGGGTGGGGGGCGACTTGGTGCCCAGGTTCTTGGGCTCCCACGCCAGCAAGGCTGACGGAGTAGATGTGAGGCAGGTGTTCGGCCTCTCCCCTTCCCCCCATGAGAGGTGGCTCCCCCCCCCTGCCAGGCAGAGCCACTGCAATGGCAGGCGAGGAAGGAGCCAGGGCGCCCCCAAGGCTCAGCAAGCTCTGAGCATCCTGGCGCTGGGAGGCACCGGAATTCCAGAGTCCTGGTTCCAGGACTGCAGGCTCAGGCCAACGCCCACTCCCGGGTTAGCCCGGGTGGCCGGAGGGGTCTCCTTCCTGCCCCTGCCCCGGCTCCGGTCCCCAGGCCCCCAGGCCCCCAGACCCTAGGCCCCCGGGTCCCCAGCTCCAGCCCGTGGACTCAGGGCTGCTGAAATTCGGGAGCTGGGCTAGGCTTCCCGAACGTGCAGTTCTTTCCACAAACAACCGGGAGGCAGGCCCGGGGACACACAGGGCCTGGGGGCCGCTGGTTAACAAAGCGGGTTCTGGGCGGGGCCTGGGCACCTGCATTTCCGATTGGCTCCCAGGCTGTGCTGAGTGGCGGAGGACCGCACTCTGACTCCCGTTCAGACCTGCTCCGGCAGCCCCTCGCTCAGTGCAGCGCCTGGGTCACCTCCAGGCACCCTAGAATGCCTACATCTGCCTGCCCTGCAGCCACACCCCAGTCACACCGGCCACTGGCTGGCCGTGCCCACGGCTCAGAGCCAGAAATCTGACTCCGTGGGGCTAGGATCTGGGAATTTACAAAGGGAAACAGCCCCTTCCAGAGACCACTGCCCGCCTGACCCTCCCACAGCCCCTCCTACCCCCCATAACACCCCCCCAGCAACCAGCTCTCTGCCTTTTCCACCTCTGACTCTCTAGCGCCACCTCCCGGGCGTATCTGTCACAACGACCTGTCCACAGCTGGACAGAGGTGCCCAGAAAGCCCTGGAGGGTGGCTTGAAGGACGTGAGTGAGGAAGGCTGGCCCCTGACCCAAGATGAAACTGCGCTTCTGCTTTAGCTGGCCTCGATCCCGTCCATCTCTCCGGCTGCAACGCAAGCCCAGGTCTCAGGGGCGGGGCGCGAAACCTCTCCCTCCCTCCATCAAGGGCTCAGAAAGGGGGAGCCTATAGCCTCTGTGCCTGACGGTGACATATCAGTGAACCCTGAGCTAAGCACTGTCCTTTCCTTTCTTTTTCTCACAGAAAAGCCTGCTGGGAAGAGCAGCTTAAACGAGGGCACCTGTGGGTGCCTCCCCATGGACACAAAGGGGAGAGAGGATGGAGGGGAGGGGAGGGGAGCGAGGCCGGGCTCCGTCCGCACAGCACCTGCTCGGCCTCCGGGGCTGTGTGCTCCACACACGGCAGGCATCGCTGCTCGGGATGCCCAGGCTGGCTTCTCGGGGTCCCCAGGAGAGCCCTCCAGCCCTACCCCGCTCAGGCTCCCTCGAACCTGCGGAGGCAGAACCTCCAGCGGCCGGACCGGGCACGCGCCCTCCGCCAGGCGGCCCGGCATCAGGATGCGCTGTGTCAGCTCGCCGCACCCCACAGCAGCCCGTGTCACAGACGGGGTTCCTCCCGGGAGCTCACACTGGCCAGGCCAAAGCAGGAAGGCAACGGGCCGGACTGCCCCCGGCATGGTCACCAGACGTGATTCCAAACCCCGGGCGAGTGGCGGCGCCTGCTCTGAGGATGCCGGCGTCCCCTGGGGATGCCCCGGAGGCGAGGTGCCATGGAACCGGGGTCACCACGTGAACGCAACCCTGCACACCCCCACCCCCTCCCCGGCGGGCATGGCTCCTAGCATTGGAAAGCCAGGGACATGGGCACTGTCAGAAAGCGGAAGGCACCAGCCGAAACCGGTGTGGCTCAGTGGATAGAGCATCGGCCTGTGGACTGAAAGGTCCCAGGTTCAATTCTGGTCAAGGGCATGCACCTTGGTTGCGGGCACATCCCCAGTAGGAAGTGTGCAGGAGGCAGCTGATTGATGTTTCTCTCATCCATGTTTCTAGCTCTCTATCCCTCTCCCTTCCTCTCTGTAAGAAATCAATAAAATATATATTTTTTTAATTAAAATAAAATAAAAAGAGAAAGTGGCCGGCACCAGAATGCCGAAGGCACAACTCTGGCCAAGGAAACCCGTTCGTTCGTCATGGAAGAAGCAGGTTCTCGGGTCGGAGGACTCTCAGGCACCCGCACGCATGCATGCCCAGGCACGAGGCCCGCCCAGGCATGCGCCCGCGATGGTTTTGACAAGGCGTCTGATAACATCTCCCAGCATGCCCTGGAGCCCTGGAGCCCTGGTGGGGCGGCGCGGATGATGTTGTAATAAGTTCAGTGGGTGAAGCGAGCATTCCTGTGGGTGTGGAAATGGGCTTGGTTGGTTGATTTCCTGCCGCTGGCTCTATTCTAGCTCCTTCCTCCTCACCTATTTTATCCGTGTTGGGTTGGCAAAGAAAGATGTGCATGCCCTGGCCGGCGTGGCTCAGTGGATAGAGCATCAGCATGCAGACTGAAGGGTCCCGGATTCGATTCCGGTCAAGGGCATGTACCTTGCTTGCAGGCACTTCCCAGTAGGGGGCGTGCAGGAGGCAGCTGATTGATGTATCTCTCTCATCGATGATTCTAACTCTCTATCAGCCTCTCCCTTCCTCTCTGTAAAAAAAAAATCAATTATATATATATATATATATATATATATATATATATATATATATATATTTTTTTTAAGATGTTCATGCTGGGGGGATGGGGGGGGGGGCCGGAGGGTGGGGTGGGCACCTGGTGGAGGGGGGAAGAAATGAGGAACCTTTGTAATAATATGAACAATAAAGATTGATTTAAAAAATTAAAAAAAATAAAAAAAATAAGATGTTCATGCTGGAACTGGTTAAGCTCAATGGATAGAGCGTCGGCCTGCGGACTGAAGGGTCCCAGGATCCATTCCGGTCAAGGGCATGTATCTTGGTTGCAGGCACATTCCCGGTCGGGGGTGTTTAGGAGGCAGCTGGTCAATGTTTCTCTCATCGATGTTTCTAGCTCTCTATCCCTCCCCCTTCCTCTCTGTGAAAAATCAATAAAAATATATCTTTAAATAAAAATTTAAAAAAGATGCTCATGAGTGATGGTCAGATTTCCAGATGTAACACAGTCGATATACTGGGTCCCAGAATCCAAGCAAGGCTTTGGGAAGCAGGAGGGCTGTGCGGGGACCATGGCTTCCTCGCTGCTCAGGAGCCCCGGCCAGTGAGGAGCGCTCTGGAGCGCCTGCCTGTGCCAGGGGCTAACCGCCCGCTCCCCGGCTCTCGGGGGGACGGAGGGGGCTCTCAGGGGCGGAGAGGGCTCTCGGGTGACAGAGAAGCTCCCGGCCAGTGCGTCCTGGGCTCCGGCACCCAGGAAGCACCCAGGGCACCGCACACAGCATCTCGAATCCGGGCGCTGGTCGTTTTTGAAAGCCCTTTGAACTGTCCACGCACTGGGACTCTCTCCCGTGTTTGCAAAACACCGTTACACAAGGCGGCGGTGCGGCACCCAACGTGCAAGGCTGGCCTTTCGCTTCCCGGCCGGCGACCTCTGCCCCACTGGGCGCTCCCGATGGCACAGAACCCAGACACCCGCCCCCATCGCGCTCCTCCGGGGCCGGGCGGCTATTAATACACTCGCTTCCTGCCTCGGTCGGGGCCGGGAGGGCGTCCCGTCCCTTTCTCTCCAACGCCTGTGAGTCCCAGCCACCGTGTCCGTAGCCTAAGAGGATCCCCCGGAGGGTGCCCACAGGATTGTGGGCTGAGTGCTCCCCGGATGAATTCACTTTTCACTTGCCCCCCCCTTCCCTGCAGCGGAGGCGGGTGATCCCGCCCGAGGGTGCCTGGTCCTGGGTCCCAGTGGGACAGCGCCCTCTAGGGGTCTTTCTGAGCACAGGACGCGGCGGCCACAGGACAGCAGGCCAAGGCTCCCGCCTTCCTTCCTACGGGGTCTCGGAGGACATGGCTGGGCCTGCAGCAGGGGATGAGGTGTGGACACAGGGTCCTCTCACCCCCCCCCACCGTGCCCAACAGAACAGCTCTGCCCACCCGTCAGAGGCCTGGAGACCCAAAAAGATGTCCACCAGTGATTCCGGAGTGGAACAGCCTGAAGGAGGGTCCTCCCCTCCCCTCCCCGTACCCGCACCCCCCCCATACACACACACACAGGGGTTTCCAGCTCGGCTGCCCGGGCCCCGGTGAAGGGGAGCAGGAGGGTGGGTTGGCCAGAGGTGGTTGATGCGGGGAAAGGGGGCTGGCAGAGGGGCGGCAGCACGCTCACCATCCCGGCCTCGCCAGCTGCCCCCTTGTTACGTCAGCCGCAGGGAGGCGTCCGCCTATTTTCCTCGGTAGCAAAGGGAGGGCAGGTGCCGGCGATCCCGGTCAGGGCCCCTCTGGGCATCCGGACGGAAGGTGCCGGAAGGATCCCCACCCCTCGGGCTGGCCCAGGCGGAGGGAGAGCGGACCGAAGGCTGGACTTGTGCCCGGGAGCCGAGGCCCAGTGCCTGGACCACGGCCCACGTGAATGATCTGGTCCCTCCCGCCATTTCATTACAGTCCCACCCGCGCCCGGGGGCTGGCTTTTAAAAAATTATTTTTTCAGGTTCAGTGCTTTTACCAATAACAGCTGCCATTTACCAAGTTCCTGCCAGGGTGACGCCATTAGGTGCTGGAAGCCCATTTTACAGAGGAGAACGCCAGCCTCCAGGGAAGCAAAGTGTGCATGTGGCACAGCTGGGGCTGAGCCCAGGCCTAACCTTCTCTCTGGGGCCTCCGCGTTTGGCCCAGGGCAGCCGTCGGCAAACCCATCGGCCCACAGAGCCAAAGCCCAACAGCACAACGACTGGCATCTCTTTGGAGAGCCACGTTTTTAAACTTAAACTTCTTCTAACACCACGTCTTCAACCTAGACTCGCCCAGGCCGTGGTGTTTTGTGGAAGAGCCACACTCCAGGGGCCAGAGAGCCGCCTGTGGCTCGAGAGCCGCCGTTTGCCGACCACGGGCCCAGGGGGTTGGCTTTCTGTCCCGGGCCGGGCACCTGACTGCGGTGAACGGCGCCCCGCGGGCTCCAGTTCCGGAGAAATCAAACCCGAGCGGCCGAGGAGCGAGCCCTGCGGCTTCTTTCCTGGGAACAGCCTGTCCCCTCGGAGCCTCAGCCCCGCCTGGCAGCCCCACCCCCGGGACTCTGCCCAAACCCTGCCTCCCCACAGGGCCCCCAACACCGGCTCCTCGGAGGCGCCCTCCCTGCTCAGTGGCCGGTTCCGCCTGCCCGCGCCCCCCGGGAGCCGGGAGCCGGGAGCCGGGAGCTGGGAGCTGGCCGGGGGCAGGCCCACCTGCTCACACTGCGCCGTGACCGCCCACAGTGGGGACCAGGTCTCCCCTCTCTGCACAGGGCTCTGCACACGCGCAGGCTTGGAGGTCAAGCCCACAGGCTCTTGGAACGGCGGTGGCCGGTGTCACAGGTGGCAGTGCCAACGTAGCAGGTGCCTCCGAGGGCGCCCAGGGCCGCCAGCTGCCTTCGCCCGCGCCAGGACACGGCACCCACCGTGGCCCGGCCGCTCTCCTCTTCCCGAAGCAGCCAGCCCGCCGGCTCCCGGCCACGGCAGCCGCAGCCTCCTCCCCCTCTCCCGCACGGTCTCTGCCTCAGTTTCCCGTGCTGTACTCCCTGCGGCTGTGCTGGAGACCCCTCTGGGCCAGGCCTCCTCCATCCTCAGGGCTGGTCCAGAGCCGGCTCTGCCCCTGGAGCGGCCGGCCAGCTCCCAGGATCCCCGTGTGCAGCCGCCTCCAGCACGGCTGGTCACATTCTTCCAGACGGGGCGCACGCCCAGCCAAGCCCTGCAGCCCCAGCCCGGGGGGCCCTGTGCCCGGGGAAGACACCCTCAGGGGCCAGCCCTGAAGCCCCAGCCCCTGCCCCCCCGCACCCTCCTGCCCCGGAGGCCTGCTCCCCCGCAAGGAAGTCTCCGTCACACCGGGGGCCGCACAGGCCAGGGAAGGTCTTAGCCTGGGAATCTGGGGGCCCCGGCTCTCCCGGCACCCACAAGCTGCCCTGAGTGAAGGGACGGGGCCGCAGCCAGAGGCTCCGTCTGCCCCGTGGGTGGCACACGCCTCCCGCCGCCTCCCTGGATGCGGAAAGACCCCGGCACCCTCTGCTCCTGGCACGCGGTCCTCGGGACGTGGTGCCAGCCCAGCCTTCTGCCCAGGAGGCCCAGACGTGGGGCCCACACATCTGCTCACACAGCCAAACCCCTGGCCGTGGGGAGGAACAGCAAGGACCGGGTTCCAGCCCGGGCCCCCTCAGCACCCACGTCCGCGGGCACCCCCGCTCCTGCGCTGGGCTCACGTGGAAACAACTCCTCTGAACAACCTCCTAGCCACCCACCCCGGAGCCCCAGCGGGTAGGATGAGGCTGCACAGGCAGGACGGCCCGGCCGCTGGTTCTGAGTCCAGTGGAGCCCATGGCACACCACACACATCACTCAGCACACATAACACACTAGGAATACACAGCACTCAGCAGCACACTTAGCACACACAACACACACAGCACACACAGCACACTGCATACACTGCACACCCTGAGCACACTCAGCACACAGAACATACAGCACACACAACACACACCGAGCACACACAGCACTCAGCACACACAGCACACAGCACACATAACACACACAGCACACAGCACACACAGCACACACAACACACACAGAGCACACACAGCACTCAGCACACACAGCACACACACAGCACACACAAAGCACATAACACACACAGCACACAGCACACACAGCACATAGCACACACAGCACACACACAGAGCACACAGGGAGCACACAGGGAGCACACACCACACACAAAGCACACATAACACACACAGCACACACAGCAACACAGCGCACACACAGAGCACACAGGGAGCACACACCACACGCAAAGCACACATAACACACACAGCACACACAGCACACACAGCACACACAGCACACACGCAGAGCACACACCACACACAAAGCACACATAACACACACAGCACACATAGCGCACGCACGGAGCACACACCACACGCAAAGCACACATAACACACACAACACACACGCAGAGCACACACCACACACAAAGCACACGTAACACACACAGCACACAGCACACAGCACACACACAGCACTCAGCACTCAGAGACTCTCCGCTCAGAGCCCCTCGGCCACACAGACAGTGCGAGGCCCCGGCCCAGGCTGGGAAGCAGGAGGCCCTCCACACGCCCGGGCCCCGTCTCGGGGTCTGTTTTCTCTCCAAAGCAGAGAAACGCCTCACTGATGCCTCAGTGGCTCTAAATCCTCTGTAATCGCAGCCTCCGGAACAGGAGCCCAGGAGCAGCCGTCCCCACTCGGGAGGAACTCTGAACGCCCGGACCCTAACGGACTCCTGTCAGCACACACGGTCCCGCGGCCCATGGCACCCGTCTGGGGGCCGGCAGCTCACAGGGCCCCACAGCCCTTACCCACGACCACGGCGAGTCCGATTCCGGGGGGCTCTTGTCGGGCGGGGACTCGGAGCTGGAGCCGCTGGTGTCGCCCTGCTCCTCCATGGCCGCCCCTCACCACACCCTGAGCTCGGGGGCGGGGGGCGCTCTGCGGCGGCCGGCTGCACCTTGGGGAGCAGGAGCCGGGGAGACGCTGCCCGGCAGGCGCTCCCTCAGCCCAGGAGCCTGGCCAAGTCACAAGGCCGCAGGGAGCAGGGTTGGATTGCAGGCCTCCCCCGCCGGGACGGCTGGCTCACAGCACGGAGACACCCAGGCCCAGAGCACGCAGGGCCGGGGGCCGGGGGCCAGTGTTCGGGGCGAGGGGCAGGAGGCAGCGGGCAGGACCCCTGCTGGCCGCCATCAGTCTGTCCTCGGGCTGGAGGAGGTACTGGGCCAGACTCCCCAAGGTCACCAGCCTGAAGGTCAGGCTGGGATTCAGACCAGAGGGATCTAATCTGATGGGAGATGGGGGGGGCACATGTGCTGGGGGCAGGACACCTCCCAAAAGGCTGAGGGAGAGCACGCCAGGGCTTTGGGGGACCTCCCTGCCCCCCCCCCCCGAGCTGCCGCCACTCCTGGGAAGTCAGGGGCGCGGGTCAGTGCCCTCCACAGCACCGCACGGCGCTCAGCTACCTGCTACCCGCTGGCTCAGCAGCCCCCTCCCTGGGCCCCCAAGCCCTCCCCAGCCAGGCCCCTCTTCCAGGGGGCCCTGACCACATCATCCCTCCCCAACCCAGGTGGTAAGAGAAGTGCCGGCAAACATGAGCGACGTCAGTGTGTCGCTCACACAGTGGCTCTGAGTCCCTCCCTGTGCGGGGCCAGTGGCTTCCAGTGAGGGCACAGAAGTACTTGATCCGCGGCCTCAGACACCACGCCCGGACCTAGCCATCCAGGCCTTCCTCCCCCGGGGAAGCGCAGAGTGTCAGGAGGGACCCACTGCACAGCCTCGAAGCTGGGTGCCCGCCCCACTCCCGGACCAGCTCCCCCTCCCCCCACCCCCCCCGGACCAGCTCCCACCCTCCCCCCGCCCCCCCTCACCAGCTCCCACCCTCCCCTGGACCAGCTCCCCCTCCCCCCCCCCCCGACCAGCTCCCACCCCTCCCTGGACCAGCTCCCCCTCCCCTGGACCAGCTCCTTCTCCCCCAGCCCCCCCCCCGACCAGCTCCCACCCTCCCCCCGCCCCCCCGACCAGCTCCCACCCTCCCCTGGACCAGCTCCCACCCTCCCCCACCAGCTCCCACCCCCCCCGACCAGCTCCCACCCCCCCCCCCCAACCAGCTCCCACACTCCCCTGGACCAGCTCCCACCCTCCCCCACCAGCTCCCCCCCCACCAGCTCCCACCCTCCCCTGGATCAGTTCCCCTCCCCCCCACCAGCTCCCACCCACTCCAGAACCAGTTCCCCTCCCCCGCCCCCCTGACCAGCTCCCACCCCACCCCCGCCCCGGACCAGGTCCCACAGCCGGTCGCCCCGCTCAGCCTGAGGTGCCAGGAGAACACGGCACATGAAGACACCAGTGTCACCGCCACTCTTGCAGTTCTTAATCCGTCCTGTGAAGCTATTTTAAGAATCTCAGTGACAGGACCGAGTGGTGACCCCTGCCGCACTCAGCGTTCAGCCAGAGGCCAGGTGGCAGCCAGGAAGGCACATGGGCAGCTGCTCTGGTCACGGCAGACCCTCCCGGTGTCTCTGTGCAGCCTCGGGAAAGGGGGGCAGGGGGGGGCAGGGCTCAGCGTCCTGGGCCGGCAGGGGTTTCACAGCCTGAGGGCACCGTGTGCTGGAGATGGGGCAGGAGGCGGAGCAGGCGGGCAGCTGATCTGCCTTCTGCCCCTTCGCAGGGCTGCAGGGCTGCCGAGAGCCGGCACTGGGCGCCTGGGACACACGGGCAGGGGACGGGATGTGAGCGATGACAGGCTCCCAGAGTGGACTCTGCGTCCGAGTCACACAGCCTGGGCTCTCGGCCTGCCTCGGGCGGTTAGAAGCTGTTCTGACTCAGGGCGGGTCGCTCAGCCTCAGGAGCCCTGGCCTCCTGACCTGGGAAACACGGGGACAGAAATAGTGTCCCTCTCGGGGGGGGGGGGGGGGGGAGACACACGAGGCCTTGCACCTCGACACCATGCCTGGCGCCGATCGGCCTTCACGAAGCGGTAGCAGCCAGGAATCCTCGCAGCCGCGCTGAGGCAGGCTGGAGTGGCTCCATTTCACAGACAGGAAAACTGAGCCAACGTTTTACTTAGGGTTTTCATCGGCTGCAGACTCCCACTTTCTCCTGCAACAGGGCTGGCTCCCAGGGGTCCGTCCCCGCCCCGGGGGACCGAGAGGCCAGGCTGGCCTTCCCCTGAGACACTCCCGCCCTGTGTCCCCTCCCCACCCCCCCCACCCCCGGCTCCCAGCACAGAGCCTGGGAGCCCCCTGGGAACCCCCAAGAGCACTTTGGGGTTTGCCCTAAAGCTTGTGCGATGGCCTCTTCCCAGAATGCTCCTCCCCACCTCGCTTCCTCTTTTTCCCACGTGCCCGACCCCCGGGCCAGGTGAGAGCCTCCCGCAGCCTTCCCTGACCTCTGCATCCGTGATGGCTGCTCCACCCTCCGGCCTTTCAGGGGGAGGACGATGTGTCTGATCCCTTCCACGTGCCAGTGCTTTTCCGCTCCCCTTCCCAAGGCCAAGGCCATCTTCCCCAGAAGCAGAAACAGGCTCAGAGGCTCGCCTGGCCGGAGGGGTGGAGCGCAGAGGCCGCCCCGCCCACTCCCCTGAGCGGACACAAAGTGACGGGAAGAGCCCCAGGCTCCTGAATCAGCATCACTAAGGGGAGTTCCTGGGCTCATGACTCAGCATCCCTGAGAGGAGAACGCTGAGTTCAAGACTCAGCATCCCAGCTGGGGAGCTCCCTGGGTTCATGACTCAGCATCTCTGATGGGAGCTCCCTGGGCTCATGACTCAGCATCCAGAGGGGAACTCCCTGAATTTATGACTCAGCATCCAGAGGGGAACTCCCTGAATTTATGACTCAGCATCCAGAGGGGAACTCCCTGAATTTATGACTCAGCATCCCTGAGGGAAGTTCCCTGTGCTCATGACTCAGCATCCCAGCCGCCTCAGGGGCTCTTGGAACAGGATCCAGCCCGGCTCACCTGAGTTTCGTGAGGAGGACACAGCATGGGAAAAAGTCACATCAGGCTCTTTTTCAATTAATAAACGGAATGTTTCGTGTGTTTTTCACCAGTGGCTTTTTGGAGCAGTTGAGGCTCACAGAAAAACTGAGCTGAGGGTTCCCCATGTCCCTGTTCCCACACCGAGACAACCTTCCCCCATCAACATCCTGCACCACAGTGGACCGTTTGTTACAACTAACCAACTGAGATTGACAAGTCATTTTCACCCCAAGCCCATACTCTACACGAGGGCTCACTCCTCGTGCTGTACATTCCATGGCCTTCTAAAAAAAAAAATACACTTTTATTTATTTCAGAGAGGAAGGGAGAGGGAGAGAGAGAGAGAGAAACATCAGTGATGAGAATCATGGATCGGGTGATCAAGCCTGGAACCCGGACATGTGCCCTGACCAGGAATCGAACCGTGGCTCCTGGTTCATAGGTAGATGCTCAACCACTGAGCCACCTGGCTGGGCCATTCTATGGTTTTGACAACTGTCTCATGACAGAGAGCCATCATCGGAATACCTTCCAGAGTAGCTTCACCGCCCTAAAAACCCTGTGCTCACCTCGCCACCTGGCCCAGCTCCGTGTCTTTTCATGGCTCAATAGCTCGTTTCTTTTTGGTGCTGAGCCATCTTCCATTGTGTGGAAGGCCCCCAGTGCATTCATCCATCCACCTGCAAAAGGACATCTCGGCTGCCTGCAGGTTTGGGCAACTGTAAACAAATCTGCTGTACACATCTGTGTGAGCTTGTGTTTGCTTAGGGCACCCTCAGGTAGCTCCCCCCGGTCTCCAGGCCCTGAGAAGGAAGCGGAGGCTGAGGCAGGGGGGTGGAGATCAGCAGCCCGAGGGGGCCCAACCCCAGCCCAGCCCAGCCCAGCCCAGCGATGAACCTGGTCTTCCAGCTGATGTGGGCACGCCCTCTGGGCATGGAGCTCCATTTGCTCATCTTGGCTCTAGGCTGGGAGCAATGCGCTGTCCACACCCGTGGTGCTGAAGCTGTGGACATGGCCCTAGGCACCTGCGCTACCTCATGCTCAGCCCTGCTCTCTCTACACTGCTGCTGCTGCTGCTGCTGCTGCTGATGATGATAGTGATGGAGATGATGATGGAGATGATGATGGAGATGATGATGGAGATGATGGTGATGATAGTGATAGTGATGTCGGTGACAGTGATGATGATAGTGATGGAGATGATGATGGCGATAATAGTGATAGTGATGACGGTGACAATGATGATAGTGATGGCGATGGTGATAATGGTGATATGATGGAAATGATAGTGATGGCGACAATGATGATGGTGATGGCACTGAAGATGGTGATAATAATGGCAATGATAATGATGGTGATGGCGATGATGATGGTGATAGTGATGGCAATGATGGTGATAATGAAGATGATGGTGGTGATGGTGATGATGGTCAGTGTGCCCATGGAATTACAACTTCATGTGGTTACACTACCCCTGGGTCTCTGAAACCTGGGCTGCTACACCTACTACTTCATGGTGTGTGCCTTTGCCATGGTGCACAGCATGGCTGGCACAAGCACTAAGCGCTGCCTGGCCCTGTGCCAGCCCTGTGTGCCAGCCACCTGCTGACGTCAGACAGGACCTGCCCCTGCTGTCCTCCTCCAGGTGCCTCACCTGACCTGGCCTGGCCTGGCCCCCCGATGGCTATCAGTGTGGGGCAGAAGCAGGAACTGAAGGCTGTGGATGGGGTGCCAGAGCCTGCTCCCGCCTGCACCGCATGCTAGTGACTCCTGCCATAGTCCAGGTTTTCATCCAGATTATGGGGAAAAGGGAACAGACCGCCTATGTTTTCACCTCTAATCCTCAGGCCACCCAGAAAGCTGGGCCTCCGTTTTCCAGGTGAGGTGAAGTGTCCTCAAAAGTCCAGAATTTAAA